TTCCGATCTATAATCTAAATTATTTTAATAATTAAATAATTTAGATTATAACAATAATTAATAAAAATTTTAAAACTATACATTTAATTCAAAATGTAATTTAATTTTTAAAATCTTTATTCATAAGTTCTTTCTAATTTATTATTTATTATTTATATTATAATATAATTATTAATTTATAATTTAATTTAATTTAATAAAAAAATGTGATAGTTTTCGGTTGATTTGTTTTCGGGTGGATTTATCCAAACTCGATAAAACTTGATGGAGATAAAGATAAGTTTTAAAAATATAAATTTGTATCTTTAAAGCTCAAATTCGAACTCACCTCGTCTTATAAAGTTGAAAGAAATTCATTTCTAACTTTCATTATGATCCCTACTTATAGGGGTGTTTATAGATAAATTTTTGAAAAAATTTAAACCGATCTAAATCGATCTGTTTTGTAAAAATAAATAGGTTTATCAATGCATTATATAAAAAATAGAATAATTAACTGATTCAATTTTATAAAATACATAAATTATTTTTTAAAAATATTGATCATTTTTAAAATAAAAAAAACAAAAAAAAAAGTTCAGTATAATATAATTATCTATTTTTTATCTATATATGGATAATTTTTTAAAAAAAATTGAACTGAACTGAATCAATTAATTTTATAAAAATAGATAAAATAATTTAAATATTTTAAAAGAAATCAAAGTTTTTAATATGAATGAGCTGAGTTGCAATAGATGTGGGTTGTTTCTCACTTCAATTACCATTTCCAATCCTTTCCGGCAGCTCATTCAGTCATTGTGCCTATTATACTATTTTTGGATCTTATTATTCTATTTTCATATTTAAAATATTGAATAATGTTTAAAAATAAATAGTTTTCATTTACATTTATCAACCTACGCAGTATTATGTAAAAATAAAATAATATAAAAAAAAACCTACGCAGTATTAATTAATCTTTGTTAAAATTTATATTACGCATGCAATGTAAATGCGTGTTTGAAAAAACTAGCTTATAATGTAGTTACAGAATTATATGTTATAAGTTATAAACTAAATAAATAAATAAATTAGAAATTAATTAATTAAATTGAAAATGTTTTATAAAATTAATTTATCTGATTAATATAAAACAATATATTTATTTTATTTGATAATGAAAGTGAAATATTAACATATAGGTTAAATGGTTTTTAAATTAAAAAGGTAAAAAAAAAATCAAGCAAATAATGAAGATAAAAATTAAAGAAATAAAATTAAGAGTTTATAAGTTTCTTCTATTAGCTTATAAAAAAAAGTTGTAAATATGTAAAACATGCTTTCAATAATAGATTTAGAAATTTTCGGTAATGGGAGATATTTATACATAAATTTATAATATTAAACATATAACTTCACATTTTTTAAAATATAATTGTAAATCAAATTTTTTTATGAGATTTTATATTTTAAAAAATTGAATGTTTTTTTATTTTTAACACTTTCAAAAACATTTTTCTATATAAATAATTAATCAATCATCTAACTAATTATATCTCATTTCAAAATTTTGAATTTTTTCTTTTTTAAAAATAGTATAACATGAGATTGGTCGATTATCACTCCTTAATCTCTTTATTTACTTGAATCAATTATAATTGATACTCTATTTATTCCGGTAATAAGTGTCGTTGTCTTAATCTATTTTACACCTACTAATAAGCCTTATGATTAATCTTTTTTATAATAAAAAATGGAATACCATACTCATTTTTTAAAAATATTATGAAGAGTAGGACACTTAAGTTTTTAACAAGCAAGTGTGAGAATATTATTATAACGTACATATTAAAAAAAAACTAAATATCAAAAAGTTAGTGTGATATTTATATGGACCAAATTTAAGATGAAGACTTACTTTATGTTTATGTTTTGATAATTACAAAGAGTATCTCTTATGTTTTAAGAGAGTGCAAATTGTATTGATGTATATTTATACTTTATTAAACATGTTTACTTTTTGCATTATGAATAACTTAATCAAATATTTTTTGTTAGATAATGTTTAATGATGAAAAGATTTTTAAACTAATTTTAAATATATAAAATATAAAATTTGAATCTATCACTCAATATTATTCACTTGTAATAATCGATTATTTACATTATTTTTTTTCATTATAAAAAATTCGTTATAATAATCAATTATCATTATGCAATAATTGATTATTTCATAATCAATTACCAATAAGAATCAATTACTCCAATTAATAATTAATTAAAATATTTTTAATTAATTTTTCAAATTTATTAAAAACAAAATAATCAATTATTTTAATAAAAAATTATATAAATACCATTTTTTTTTTAACTCAGAACATATCAAATACTTATATTTGGCTTGATTCAAATTTTCTTTTCATACTCCCTAGCATTATTTTTTAAATTGAAAATGAATTAGTTAAAAACAAACCATTTTTATAATAAAGTAGTTATAATTTTTAAAAAATGAATTTTGCAATCGATTAAATTGGATTCTAAACCGGTTGTGTTGTATTTAAGATTTTTTGTTTGGCCACCTCTGACACAAAATATGAATGTTCTAGAAGCATTAAATTTGGCCTACAAGATTTAGACTATAAGGACTAAGGTGCTCCAAATTCCAAAACATAGCGCAGTTAGACCGCTGAACTGAAACTTGTAAATTCTTTCCGATCCATGAAAGCTGACAAATTGCATTGCATGTGGAAGCCAGGTATATTAGCTTACCTCACTTTTACTTTTTCCCACACCATTAGCCATTAGGCATTAGGGTACGTAACTTCAACACGTTTTCATCGGTCAATTTCTCCTCTTCATTTTCAAATTACCATCTTTTATTTATTTGGATTTCCAAGTTCTTTTTTTTTTTTTTTTATTTATAAATTCATGAAAATTTACAACATCCAGACATATTTTTTCTTTTTCAAAGGCTCTGTTACATGAGAAGTGAGAACAACAGTATAGTAGTCTTAAAGAGATTTTGTTTCTCTATTAATCTATTATTATTTTGATACAAAATGGTTGCACTAACTTTTTATTTGCCCCTAATATATATATTTTTTATGTAACTTAAAGATATATGTTTCGATTTGGCGTCCAACTAATCCCTCCTACTTTAATACCTTTAACCACGATTCCATTTTCTAAGTTCCGAATAGGTTAATACATATCCATTAGAGTTCTGCCAATCATGACAAAAGAAGACAAGCTTGCTCAAGTTTAACGAATGTTTGAAAGTTCTTCAATTGAAGTCCAATTCCACTAGTATTCGTCCAAAAGCAATGTTACAAGAAAAATCAAATCTCACGCTATTTTGCATTTAGCTGTTTGCAGCAAACAAACATTCAGATGGCATTTACAGAAACAAGAGTAGTAATTTCAGGAAATAGCTTAACAACACGGATGGCCTTAAGCACTAATTTAATCATGCAATAAGGCATGTTATACAATATTTTCACATATAAAAAAATTCAAACAGCAAAAGAAATGAACATCAAATTGAAAAGGAATTTAATTTTTTTAATGTTATGTCAAATCTTTGTTAGAGATTAATTTCAGTATTCGTCTAGAACAAAAAAAAAAACAACAAAAGAAATATCATTTCAAAAATAAAAAGAAAAAAATTGAAGTTTTAAGATAAAAATTATGTCAAAACAACTTCACATAAAACTAAATATAAATTTACTTTATAATTTTACTAAGCAATTGAATATTTTTAAAATATATAATTTATATTATTATCATTACTGTTAATATCGTCGTCGCGATCATGTGACAATAATCACGATGGTAACAACAATAATAAAAACAATAATTACGATATTGTTATAGTTGTCATCATTATTAACAATAATGATAATAACAATGACAAAGTAATAATAATCATGATAATAATAGAAATTATAATAATAGATAGTAATAATGTTAATAATTATTAAAAAAAGTCATATTTAAAATAAAATAAAACATTTTTTTAATAGTCAAATGATATTATTCAATCTTGTTCATTTCTATATAATGTAAAACAAACTTCTCTCAGTTCCATAGAAAATATAAATAGTGTAATACATGAACATTTACTTGGTGTTTGAATTAATTTATTTTTGGACTATTTTTTTAACAACTTTATGAAAAGACTTGATTATTGTCACCTTTAATTAACCACACAATTTATATTCCGATAGTAAGTTTCCCTTGGATGATGCTATTTTATGGTTGTAGTATCATCCAGATTAGCAAGTCATTCTTCTACTGATTGTCAATAATAAAGATCGATGAAAGTTAACGCCACAAAATTAGAATAGTTAATATTATGCTAAAAGCAGATGATTTAACATTAAAATTATACTACTCGCAATATTTAATTTGCGATTGCTATATATATAAATGAAAAGGCTAAGCAGCAGTACCAAGTGCACGTGGCAAGATTTTAAAAATGAAAATAATTATTAAGCAGCAGAAATCCAAATACTACAAAATCTTTTACACAAATGCTTTATATCAGGAGTCAGGACACAGACTACATGATCTTTCATTCTCTATTCCATAGAGATTCGTCCGCCACTCCCAACTCTAGCAAATTGTACAACCTCAGGGTAAGCTGCAATAGCCCAAGTTTAGGCATAGTTAATATACAAAACCATAAATGTCAACGATATGAACATATGCTTATGAACGATCCAAAATATGCGACAAATCCAAAATATTGTCTAATAAATTATCTCTAATAAACAGATAAAAAAATTGAGTTTCGTAGGCAATGAGACTCAAAAGAGCATAAATTAGTAAAACCATACATTGAGAAAATGAACAAGTGCTTACTAGTGTCTATCGCCTAAACTATTCAGAGAGAAAGAGGTTGACTGCAAAAATTTCTCACTCCTTATATTCACCATCAATGAAGTCCTGAAGAGCGATCATTCTGATAGAGTTGGACTTCAAGCTCTTTATTGCTTCAGCAGTTGCCATAGCTCCATTAACTGTTGTCACAATAGGAACCTTGTAATCCAAAGCCATCCTTCTCAGTGCCATACCATCTATCCGATCAAGTGCATCATCTGAACTGGTTACCACCATCAGCTGAATGTCTCCATTGGCAATCATGTCACCGGCATGAGGCCTCCCTTCGTGCAACTTCAGCACTCGCTCCGCCGGGATTTTAGCTAAATTGAGAGTATGAGCTGTTCCACTAGTAGCAACAATCTGAAATCCAATCTCAATGTACGCCTTTGCAATCTTCTGAAGGTGAGGCTTGGTCAAGTCATTCAAGCTAAGGAACACAGTACCAGAAAGTGGCAACTTCTGGCCAGCAGCTATTTGAGCCTTAGCAAATGCAGTATTATATGAAGGGTCAATACCCATGACCTCACCAGTGCTTCGCATCTCAGGACTTAAAAACACATCACAGCCTGGGAACTTTGAAAAAGGAAGAACTGCTTCCTTGACTGACACATATTTAGGGATAACCTCTTTTGTAAACTGTATATCATGGAGAGTCTTTCCAGACATGACAAGCGAAGCATATTTAGCCAAGGGGTGGCCAATTGCTTTTGATACAAATGGAACTGTACGGGAAGCTCGAGGGTTGGCCTCAAGCAAAAATACATCCCCTGATGGAGTTATTGCATACTGACAATTCATGAGCCCACAAACATTCAGTTGTTTAGCCAAGTTTTCCGTCCATGACCTGATTGTCTCCAAGCAAGAAGCTGGAACAGTTCTGGTGGGAATAGAGCAGGCAGAATCACCGGAATGTATACCAGCCTGTTCAATGTGCTCCATTATCCCACCAATTACCACATTGCCTTGTGAGTCAGCCAGGGCATCAACATCAATCTCACAAGCATCAGATAAATACTTGTCAATTAATACAGGGCGTTCTGGATCCACCTCAACAGCATTTTCAAGGTAGGTCACCAGTTTACTATCACTATATACAATCTCCATTGCTCGACCACCCAAAACATAAGAAGGACGAACAACAACTGGGTATCCAATTTCTGCTGCAATAGCAAGTGCATCAGTTTCACTCCTAGCAATTCCTCCTTTTGGGTGTTCAATCTTTAGTTCATGAAGCATCACGTTGAACCTCTCTCTGTCCTCGGCAATATCTATGGAATCAGGAGATGTTCCCCAAATGCGTACGTGACCAACCCCACTAGCACATGCCGGCTTGTGTTCATCTAGGTAGTGCTGTATGGGGAGAGATAACTTCAATGGTGTTTGACCTCCAAATTGTACAATGATACCATCAGGCCTTTCCAAATCAATAATGTTCAAAACATCTTCAACGGTCAAGGGTTCAAAGTATAGACGATCACTAGTGTCATAATCTGTGGAGACTGTCTCAGGGTTTGAGTTCACCATGATAGTCTCATATCCTGCTTCCTGCAAATGCAATGGACAAGGTTGACATATAGTAAAGAGTAACAACTGCACAAAAATCAAATTAACCACCAAGCTGGAAAAATGTTAAGATAAGTGGGAACCAGTTCCTATCATATTGAAGTGCAAAACAAAGCATGGAAAATTTAATCATTTTATAGCAAACACCAAACAGATAGACAGGGGACACGAAAATTAAACCAAACATTTTACCAGAATTTGATATCATGCAGCATCATTTGCAACCCCAGATAAAACTTCTCAAGAGTGAAAAAACCAGGAATATAATCAATTAAAGAAGATATAACAAACCTGAAGAGCAAATGATGCATGACAACAACAGTAGTCAAACTCAATCCCTTGACCAATTCTATTGGGTCCTCCACCCAAAATTAAGACCTTCTTTTTTGTAGTGGGAGCCGATTCACACTCAAAATCATAAGAAGAATACATGTAAGGAGTATTAGCTTCAAATTCAGCTGCACAGGTATCAACTCTCTTATATGCTGGAGTAACACCCAGAGACAATCGCTTATAGCGCACTTCTTTCTCGGTGGTTTTAGTTGCAAATGCTATCTGTTTATCACTAAACCCTCTTCTCTTCACCTCGTAAAAATCAACATTTGTTAAATCCGACAAACTGTGAGACAGCAAGAAACTTTCCACATCAACCAGCTCCTTGAGCTGCGTGAGAAACCATTTGTCAATGTAACTCAGCTCAAAGATTTCATCAATCTCCATCCCTCTTTTCATTGCAGCATAGATAGCATGGATGCGCTCCGGGTTAGGTACTCGGAGGCTATACTTCAACTGCTCCAAGTCATAGTTCAACTCCTTCACTTGTCCACACCCCCATCCAGCATATCCATGCTCTAGAGAGCGTACTGCTTTTTGAAACGACTCTTGGAAAGTCCGCCCTACAGCCATAGCCTCGCCAACTGATTTCATCTGTGTTGTCAATATTGGCTGAGACCCAGGAAACTTCTCAAAAGCAAACCGAGGAATCTGCACCCAAATACAAAAGAAAAGTAAAAAAAAAAAAAAAAAGTTTTCAAAAAAAAAAAAGCAAACAAATTACACAATGCAGAACGACAACAGCCTCATGCCCTGCTCCAAAAAAGAAATATCACAATTATAAAATTGGCCAATTTTCTATTGTAATCATGGTATGGTATTGGAATGAAGTGTCCGCCACCAAAAGTAGTGACTAATCTCTATTAAGGACTATGAAATTGTTAATGCATATAAGCTGGATATTCTCCTCCTAGTGCGGTGAATTTCATACCCAGAATTCAAACCCCGAAATTGTGAATGCATATAAGCTGGATATTCCCCTCCCAGCACAGTGAATTTCATACTCAGGATCACAATTCAAACCTTGAACAACTTAGTTAAGTGATGCAAGCAGCCACCAGTTGTGTCCAACCAGTGTAACCCTAAACTCACAATTAAAAACCCGGCCATTTGGAATTACATAACATAAGCAGTGACTCAATTCATAGTTCTTACCAATAAAAAATTTAAAACCAAAAACACTCTGCCAAGCCACATTGGTATACATATATAGACATGATGGCAATATCAATGACAAAGTATCTTACCTTTGTAACCACATAATCAATAGAAGGCTCAAAACTAGCAGGCGTCTTCTTCGTTATATCATTCGGTATCTGATCCAAAGAATACCCCACGGACAATTTCGCCGCCATCTTGGCAATGGGGAACCCGGTGGCCTTCGATGCCAAGGCCGAAGACCTCGAAACCCTGGGGTTCATCTCAATCACCATGACCTCCCCATTCTCGGGATTAACCGCAAACTGCACATTAGAGCCACCACACTCCACTCCAATCTCTCTAATTATAGCAATTGAGTAATCCCTCAACCGCTGGTACTCCTTATCCGTCAAAGTCTGCGCCGGCGCAACGGTGATAGAATCCCCGGTATGAACCCCCATAGGGTCAATATTCTCAATGGAGCAAATAATAACAACATTATCAGCCAAATCCCGCATAACCTCAAGCTCATACTCTTTCCACCCAAGAAGCGACTTCTCAATCAAAACCTGGTTGGTCAAGCTAGCAGCGAGCCCCGCCTTGCAAATTTCCAGCAAATCTTCTCTATTGTAGGCGATTCCTCCGCCGGTGCCGCCGAGGGTGAAGGCGGGGCGAACAATGACCGGAAACTCCCCAATTTCGTTGGAAATTTGAATGCATTCGTCGAGAGTGGTGCCAATGCCGGAGGGAGGGGTTTTGATGCCGATGTTCTTCATGGCCTGCTTGAAGAGCTCGCGGTCCTCAGCCTTCTTGATGGCGTCGAGCTTGGCGCCGATGAGTTCGACGCCGTATTTCTCGAGGGCGCCGCTCTCGGCGAGGGCGACGGCGAGGTTGAGGGCGGTCTGGCCGCCCATGGTGGGGAGGAGGGCGTCGGGGCGCTCGGAGGCGAGGACGCGCTCGACGAGGTCGGGGGTCATGGGGGTGATGTAGGTGCGGTCGGCGGTTTCGGGATCGGTCATGATGGTGGCGGGGTTGGAGTTAATGAGGATGACTTCGTATCCCTCTTCGCGGAGGGCCTTGCACGCTTGGGTGCCCGAGTAGTCGAACTCGCACGCTTGCCCTATCACGATGGGCCCCGCGCCCAGGATCAGGATCTTCTTTATGTCGCTTCGTTTTCCCAGCTTCGGCGCTGCCTCCGCGACTGCGACTGCGGCGCCGGGGAGAGAGCAGCGCGGCGGGGTTGGGGTGAGGCGGCGGGGAGCGCGGGCGTGGATGGTGGTGGGAGCGGCGGGGCTTTGGGGGAGGGTGGTGGTTTTGGGGAGGAGGTGGGTGGGGGAGCGGGGGAGGGAGGGAGGGAGGTTGAGCGGCGTCGTTTTGGTGATGCAGTAAGCCATTGGCATTGTGCGTGGGTTTAGGGTTTGGAAATGGGAAGAATAAGATGCTGCTATCTATCTATATGCTCCTCCGTTTGTGAGTGAGTGAGTGACTGATAGTAATACAAAACATAAATGTTTAATTATTGCTTTCCAGTTTGGACCGCTCCTCACGTCCTCTTCCTACAACTAAAGTAAAGACACTGTCCCCTCACTCGTGTAAATCCCATTTTATTAACTATAACTAGGATATCATCACTATATAACTTTTTAGTCTTATTTTATCCTACGCCCAATCCATCTGTAATATAATATTTACAATTACAATACAAATATCACAAAAATTTAAAATAATTTATATTAGGATAAGTAATTTCTAACAAAATAAGACATTCGAATTAATAGTTTAAATTGTATTTTTTTTTAATAATCTCACTTTTATCATCTAGATATAATTATACTGATTCCTATACCGAATGTTGTATAGTGTATAATAAGATAATAAATTAAGGTGATGAAATTTATTTTTAAATAATTAAAGATATTGACAAGAATGAATCACAATTATAACGATAAATTAAAAGATTTGATCAACGAGATTTTTATGTCAAGAAAATAAAGTGTAGTAATAACTGTTAATTAAAAAAATTAATAATAGATATTATAATTAGTTTTAAATTTTATACTTAAATATGTTTTTATTTTTTAAATTTAAAATTAATTAACCCCAAGCGTGTGGTTCAGCGGTAGGGGTTGATCCACGCTTAAGCAAGGTCAGGGGTTCGAACCTAAAAAAAAATTAAAATTAATATTTTTAGTTGCTGTATTTTTAATAAAATTTGTTTTAATCCATGTTATTTTTAAAAAATTTATTTTAATATTTCAAATTATCAATAATATATATGAAAGCGATAAATAGAGACAATTATAACATATCAATTAGATTTAATATGATAATTTTAGTGATAGAGACACTTCTAGACATTTTATAAAATAATATTTAATAAAATTTTTAATAAAAATGTACGTGCACACTACAGATTGACATTGTACTAAAAACAGACATTGACATATATAATTATTTTTTTTTTCTTTTACATATATAGCTGTTAACTAAACATTCCAACTGCCTCGTGCAGTAAGAACCTTCCAATGGCGCGAAAGAAAGATCGCTGCTAAAGTATTCAGATTTGATAGAATTGATCTACACAGCAACCGTACAACCAAATTGAAATAAATTAGCCATCCAAAGTTAAAAATTAAAAAAAAAATGTATTACGTTTAATTTTAATTGTTCATTTACTATAATTGAACTACATTGTAACTCCAATTTTAATTCGGTCAGAATTTAAATTATTTTAACATATAATTTACACGTTTGAATTGTAAAAAAAGTATAAAAATATAAATTCAACATGTATTTTAATTTTATTTTGATTCAATAACTAATTGAGGATATATAATTATTAGTAGATAATGGAAACAATAATAATAATGAAGATATCTTTATTAGTTTTTATATTTTTTTTAAAGATATTTATACTTTTTTATTATATATTAATTTTTTTAGCATCATATCTCAAAAAAAATATATTATAAAATGTATAAAAAAAATAAACTATTCAATTTATCAATAACTAATAGGAAAAAAGATATTAGGTGCCTCCATTAAAAGAAATAAGTATGTTAGAAAAAAATAGTTATTGGTAAGTAATTTTTTTTAGAGAAATTTAAACATAAAATAGGAGTATAGATGTCTTTGAAAAGTGGACACCAAATAGTAGGGATGGCAAATATACCCGTACCCGCGGGTAATACCCGAACCCGTCCCGACTTTGACGGGGAATACCTGGTTTGACCGGGTACGGGTACGGGTAAAACTCGATATATTAAATCGGGTACGGGTACGGGTATGTACTTACCTGCCCCGTACCCGTACTCATACCCGTCCCCGTTCCCATTTTTAATTAAATACTCACTTTTAATTTAATTATATTAAAGAATTTTAGTATTTTTTATGTGTAATTATTTATTATAATATGAGATAGAGAAATAATCTAATTATAATTATAATATAATTAAAAAAATAATTTAAAAATATTATATTTTAAAAAAAAAATAATAAAATAAAAAATTTGACGGGTACGGGTACGGGTACGG